TTTTATTTCAATTATTAAATTGTTCTTCTATCACCTGTGATGCTCCTTACCTTCGCCCTTCCAATTCTCTTCCCCCATTCCCCAAGACGGGAGGGTGAGCAAGCAGCTGTATAACCATGACCTGCAGCAGCAGCCTGCTCGGCGCTCCTAGGTTCTGGTCTCCTCATTATGACCCTGCCGAGGGTTTACTCCCCACAGGGGCAGATCAAGGGGTGGTGGGCAGCTACAGGAGGAGTCTTTCTCCCCCTCCCAACATCTGTTGCTTCTGAACTGTTTGACAAGACCTTCTATAGAAATGCCTAATTGCTCTCTGACCTCTGCTGTGATTTGAGTTGATGGCAGTGGACTTGAATTCAGTATTCATTATAACCCACAGGCTTGGCTGCCCTGCAGACACTGCAGTGTGTTCTGGAGGACGCACAGCCTTTTCAGCTGACACTGCTATCAGTCCTACCTCTTGACATCCTAATCACCTTGGGCAAAGTCGTACATTTATTTGATGTGGAGCAGAAATGTTCTTCTCCTGAGGACTGACCAGCATGGCTTGGGGATCTCTGCACTGTGAATGCCCTCACTGCACCCCACACCTGTGTTTTTGTTTTGTTTTGTTTTTTTTTCAAAAAATTGAAATTTTTTCCTAAATAGTGAACAGGTATTCTAGCATTCTGCTTGCTGTGCAAACTATTGTCAGAGTTTATGGCTGTGTTAGTCTAATGCTATCCCAAGGTACATCTGGCAGTCAGAGCTCTGCACTTCCTTTGGGCAGGGCTGGCACCAGGATGAAAGAGTCTCAGCAAATATAAAAATAATTTATTTTTTTAAAGTGTACAAAGTGCCTAGTAAAACTGCAGAATAAGGCAACTTTGTAAGGAATTTCTGAGACCATGTAAAGCAGATATTTTTCCAAAGAAATGTATGGACAAACCCACATGACATATGACACTTGAGACTGCAGCATGAGAGGGGGTTTTGATGGGCTTCTATAGAGGAAACATGAAGCTCTTTGTGCCCCCGCTGCAGTGGTTGTCTCTCCATGTAGCAGTGACAATGAGGAACAACTCCCGAAGCATGCACAATTTGTCCATGATCTGCAGGGGAACAGGCTGCCCCAGGACCTGCTTCATTTGGCTGATGAAGTCCTCGATCTTCAGTTGGACCTCCAGGTGGCTGATGTCATCGTCATCCTGGAGCTTGGGCTTGGCTTTCTGAATGATCAAGTCCATCCGGTCACTGAGTGAGCTCCGCAAGTGTTCTGCAAGAAGAAATGCTGGTGGGGAGAGGCAACACACAGACTGACCTGTTCAGGGACAGATCACAGTATGTTGCAGGCAGCGCTGCACGGGGTGAGGAGTGGCTGGGGACTGTGCTGACCCTCTCATGGTTATCTTTGATGCTTCTGCATGAGACTAGCCTGGTGGAAAAGGAATTGCCCCTCCAGTCTGCACCTGGATTGAGCCCAGGAAATGGGGAGCAGGCAGGGCTTGTAGCATCAGTTTTCTCCTGTGCTAGCAGCAGACTGGACAGCTGTCCAGCTGCAAAGGGGAGTCTCCAAAGAGCTTAACAGTGATTGTCTAGGGCTTCAGGGAGAATAAGACTCTGTGCATGTGATGGTGGGTTCCTCTGCATTCCTCGCTGGGCTAAAGCAGCTGAAGTTGGGAAGAGACTTTAGGAATTTTCTGGTAAAATGACTTTCGGGAGTATTTTGTGACTGTGCCACTTTCCTGGGGTCAGAAATATTGTTCTTTCCATTGCTACTGTGGGTGGTGCTCCCTGCCCAGTTTCCTAAGTGCTGAGTGTGTCCTGGCTTTACCATCCCTTTGACTTCTGGTTTTGTTCCTAAACCACCCTATTCTTCCACCCACTGTGTGTGCAACTTGTCTAGACAATAGTAGGTAGAAAGGACCTGCTTGTGTGCTTCCCCGTGCTGGGACTGATCCTTTAGGAAGCAGGCTATTTTTTAGGGGCTGAACTAGGCAAAATAAGTTGGGTGCTCTGCTTGATGCAACATCAGTTTTTTTGCTCTGACTGCAGGGAATAGTTACTAGCATGGATGGAGGTGCATTATCTTTCTATGACTCAATGGCTGTGAGTTCAAGAGTGATGAGAAGAGAGGAGGAAGGGTACTTTGGCTGTTCTACCAGAGCCTCTTGGGATAGTGCTTATTAAGGTCAGAGCAAGCTGCTCACCCAGTATTACATTTTGGTAACTCAGCAGCAGCAAACTCAAGTACTGCAGCATCTCATCCCATTTTTGCCATGTTGCTGTTTCAGCCTATGAAAGGAGACAGTATTTGGTTATTAGAAGAGGTTTTGTCAGGAGAAAACAAGGCAAAGGAGAGGTTGGACTGGATACTTGGTACTGCAGCAGCACAGACGAGTGGCTCAGGAAATACAGGATCTTCGCCAGAGACAACGGCAAGGTCGTCGGCACATCACAACTGTGCTGGAACAACAGCTCTAGCAGTTTGCAGCGCAGGAGCTGGCTATCCATGGTGTTTAAGAAAGCTTCCCTGGAAGACAAAAGGGATTTACTTTAGGGGAGACAGCACAGCCTGAGCAGGGACAACTGTTCCAGCATGTTCCTGGTGTCCTGCTGCTGATCTGGTGCAGGTGTGTGGTGACTGCAGGGGCTGCCCGGCAGCACAGTGGAAGGAAAACCACCAGATGTGATAAAGACACCTTTGTCATGCAGCTCGGCTACAGGTACATTTACATCCTTGGGTCTGAGCTGTGCCACTCAAGGTCGGCACGGTCTGTGAAGCAGGCTTAGCTGCTTCCCTTCACCCTGCCCAGCAGCCTGTGCAGAAGTTACCCATTGCTGCTGACTCACAGGGAGCATGGCCAAGCAAGTGTGAAGTGGGGTCAGTGGCCAGCTGGATCTAGATCTGTCCTGGGAAGAGCGACAGCTTGGATAGAGTCAGTTTGGCTTGATTAGACCTGGAGTGCGCTCAGAGGGAGTTCTGCTAAAAGGCTCTGAAAAAGCTTCTTGCTGGGGCTGGCAAACACGGGTTTGAAATGTCTGTGGGTGTAGTGGTCTCATGTCTACACTAGAACCAGTCAGGCCCTTGTGCTTTGGCTTCAGATACTGAATTTCTCAGAGAAGCAAACAAAAGGATGTCAAGGCAAAGCTGTAGGAACTGCATCATATTTCTGATGAGCTAGCTGCCCAGTTGCCCCTGGGAATCAGTGAAGTGTTTGCCACTACTGGACTCGGCTGATGGAGAGTGCTGCTTTTCAGATCCTCTTTACAGTTTCAAGGTCCTGCAACTTTAACAAGTGGGAGAATCAAGGTTGTCAGCAACACACCAGCTGGGTAGGTGCATTCAGCTGGTGATGTTGTATCTCCATGAAGATACAGCCATGCTCATGCTGGCTGGGTCACAAATGAGCCTGTCATTCTATACCCTCTGGTACTTTATCCATCCAGACTTGCATGTAAATCGGGAATAAGACATTGCTCACACAGGTAGATGCTGCCTTGCACATATTTGTCTCACCTTTGACTCCTCAGGGGAATATTCAATATAAATGGGAATATCACGTCTGCGATCTTACAGGAGCTGCAGGTGGGAGATTTGTCCACTTCCACTGCGATGGACAACATCCGCTGGAGCAGGAGTATCACCCTGAGTTAGAGAAACAGTCAGCACTGGGAGACACCACCCCTTGGCTTGCAAAGTAAAGCAGTGGGGTGGCACCTAGTTCAGCCTTGTGCCTTGCAGTGAGGGACGTAGGGGAACGTAGCAGGCTAGATTTGGTGTCTCTCTGTGGCTTTTGATTCTGATGCTCTTGGAAGCAGAGCTAATGCCCAGATGGGCCCTCAGGAGGTCTCGGCAGCTGTACTGAGTGTTGGTGGAGCATCACGGGGCAGTCTGGACTGTGGGCCAAGAGCTCCAGCCTTATATTACATGCAAGAGGAAGATGCTTACTGACCCAGTTTCCTACCAGCTGAGGAAGTCTCTGGCTCACCAAGTCTATGTCTACCCCAAAGAAGAACCAGGAAAACTGGTCACAGGTACAGCCTGGCTTCCCTGGCCTAACAGGGGGAGGCTCTGGCTTCTCCCTGACTTAGACCCCATGATAATGTCAGCAGGGAGTCAGAACTTCTGGAGCTTACTTCTGGGCAAAGAAAGCTGGTGGAGCCACCTCTGCCTGGTCCTTGCTGGCCAGCCATGGTTCAGATGAGTTGTGTTCAGCCCTTGATTCTGCTGAAGAGGATGTAGTTTCTTGCGGCTGCTCCCAGGGCTGGGAGAATCCGACTCCTGTAACTGCTGCGACCAACCATACAACCACCTCCCTGGAGACAGAAACAGGAACTTTAGTGGGGAGGGGCCTGGTTTTGCTGCATTCTGACCTCTAGATCCGCTTGGAGCTTGAGGAAAGACCCCGAGGATGAAGAATACATCCCACCTACTTGGACAGGTTAGGGAGTAGCTCTGTTGAGCAGCACATTTATAAGCTTGTCAACAGGACTGTCTCCTTCTCAGTGCTGTCCTGAGCAATGCGAATCTGATCCCATTCCTGGGGAAAGCCTGTTAGGTTGTGGCTGGAAGTGCCTTGCATCATCTTCGGTGGTTTGCTTTTGTAAACCTGCTGCTGTTCATTATACTTGGGCCCTACACTTTCCTCTGTCTCCCAAGCTTGTTTCCTGGAAAGTATTAAAGTCTCACCTGGAGTCTTGGCAAGTGTTTCCTGAGCCCCTGCCTCTCAGCATCTGGTTAGAGAATAGGAGAGGAGGAGGTGTCCCTTACTTGACATTGTTGAAGCACCTGTCGCATGAAAGCACTTCCTTGGCAATCGACTTCTGCAGCATGTGCAACCTCAGGTTCTGCTGGAAGTCATCCTCCAGGGTCTGCACCACATACTGCAGGAAGAGGAGGCGGCCAGGGGGCTTCTCCTGAGGGCAGATGAAGATGGCATGAGCCTGGTGGAGCCACAGGGCAATGAGCATGAAGGAATCTGGCTGTCTTGGGAATTGGCTGATGTACATGACTGAGCAGTAGCTCCAGGAGGGGCTGTCTGGCTGAGGCAATGCCCTAGGGGTGTTGCTGGACCTGTTCTACTATTGCACCAGGGCTGTGACCCACAGAGGCTTTATCTGTTGCTGTGCCTTCTACATGTGAGACAACCTGCCCACATCTGTGCAGCAGGGTAGGGAGCACTGCGGATAAATGTGGGATAGCCGACTGGCACTTGCTGCCCTCAGCGGCTGCAATAACGCTGCATGTTGGGCTGGCCCATTCTGCAGCAGAGCACGGCCACGTGAGGCCCTGGGGACAATGCGTACCCTCAGGCACCGCGTACTGGACGATCCCTGCCCCATGTGATGCACCCTGTGCCAAGTACCTGGTCCTCCATGACATATTTCAGCAGCGTCCAGTCCCATCCCACTGTGGTGGCATTGGCTGGGTGGAGCCTGCAAGGACAGCACTGTCTGTTTGTGCTCAATTTGTGCATGGCAGCTCCTGCCTTCCCCAGCCCTTCCCAGCCCCACTTGCTCACGGGCCTGCCCTGCCTTCTCCCCTCCAGCTTCACCCTCCCCCTTTCTCCTCCCCTGACCATGTTCATTTTTTGGAAGCACCTGACCGGGGCTGTACTCCAGGGAGAGGCCCAGGATTCCTGGGTCTGTGCCTCTCTGTGGGAACCCTGAGGGCACTGGGGGAACTGCTCCAGCTGCCTCCAGCCCAGGAAAGGCATTTCTGCTGTGTTGAAGCAGTGAAGAATGAGATTTGCACTTCAGGAGCAAGGCAAACACATTCCTCTGTCCTAAAGGGCTCCCTGCTCTCACAGGCTGTCCTTGATCCACCCTCCGACAGCCCAGGATGTTCCTGTGTGATAACAGGAGGATCATCCTGCGTTACAGGGGAAATCGCTCCCTGTTCTGTGGGTGAGGACCACAGAGAATAACCTTGATGCTGGGCAGGCCCCCAGGAACACCCAGTCAGCCACAGGGCACCGGGGCAAAGGGAACACGTACATTTGTATCTTCATCAGCAGCATGTAGGTGTCCTTCAGGATCTCCCCTTGGTGGGGGTTCAACAGGATCTGTGTGATCAGGTGGGAGACTATTTCTTTGGGGGGATGGTGCTGGCAGGAGACGAACTCACTCAGGAAATGCAGGGTGCCCTCCAGGAAGTTCTCCTCCATGGTGGTGTGCACCATGCTCAGCTTCCCTTTGGGGATGAGCTCAGGTTTCTGCTGTGTGCAAAGCAAGGCAATGGGTGAAAGCCAGCTCTCCCCAGCACAGAGGAACCCAGCTGTGATGTGGGGCCCGTCATGAAGGGAACTGCAATAACCAGAGATCCCAACTGCCTGTCAAAATTTCCCCCCAAAAAAAGTGGAAGTGGAGCAGGAGTTGCCCCTGCTCTATCCTCCACTGCAGGGGCTGCTCTGAGCAGGCTCTGGCTGGGCTTGGCAGCAGCTGCTCTGAACCCCATTTACCTGCTCTGTTTCCCTGTTGGGTGCTACGCCTTGGAGAAAGAGGTGAAGGATTCCGGTCCTCCTGAAATAGTGCAGTTTGTTCAGCCAGGCCTTGGTGTGAGCCTTGGTCCTGCATGGGGTCACTGGCTGGATTGCTTCGTGTGGCAGTAAGCTACTTGCTTCTGGCAAAGGCCCTTGGGTCCTCCCTGGGATTGCGGGGATGGTTGTGGCAGGGCTTAGCCTCGGGGGCAGCTCCCTTTGCTGGCAGAAGTGGAGAGTCTCTTCCTCTGGGCCACCGGTTCTCCAGCTGCTGCTGCTGCTCTCCAGGCTGGAGGAGGACAGGGACAGTGACAGCAGTTCTGAGTCCAGCTGCATGCTGGCCAGGGAGCCCAAGTCACTGTTAAAAGTGGTAGTGCTGCAGTTCTGCTCCAAGCTGCTGGAAGAGCTGTGGTGGCTGGAGATGGGAGAGAAGCAACTCCGGTTCTCTGGCTTTTCTGTCATGTCTGTGGTGGCACTGGCCTCCGTGGGAGCACCACAGGAGGGTACTGCAGGGCTTGGCCCGGGTATTGCCTCCGTTTCTTGCGTTGTGGTGGAGCAGAGCCGGGGATGGGATGTGTGTGCTGCCAGTGCAGCAGGTGCCTGCCTGGGGTCCTGCTCATCCCAGCTGGTGGTGTGGGGAGGGCTGCATGAGTCCTCCGTCAGGTCGATGAAGATGGGGCTGCTCCATGGCACTGGGCCTGGGCTTGTGTCCTCACCGGTCAGATCAATGATCTCCTGTGGAGACAGAGGAGCCAGTGCTGTCAGCAACAATGGCACCTGGATGCCTCAGTCCTCTCCTGCCAGGGACCTCTGCTGTGGTGGCACCGTCACCCTGGCCTAAGGGGGAAAAGGGGCTGATTGTACCAGCCCAAGAAACCAGGGGCAAGGACCCCCCTGCCTGGCTGAGGGGATGGGGCAGGCTGCAGGACAGTGGCCACGAGCTCTAGCGTCAGCCTCCTGCAGCAGCACGGCTGAGCCTGAGCCCAAGCTGGGCTCTTCTGCCCTGCTCCTGGCAGACAAACCCCCCTTTCTGTACAGCAGATGTCTGGGTCCTCTGCTCCAAACACCTCTTGCCTTGGCCTGGAGCAGGCTCCTGTCCCCAGAGGCTCCTGCCTGGCGCTGTCAGGAGCAGTGCAGGATCCAAACCTCAGCACCCACCCTGCATCACAACCTAACCCACTACGTGGACGCGAGCGGCAGGGAACAGAGCTACCTTCACATCCATCCGGGATGCGAGCTACAGCAGACCGAGACTCTGGGGACTCCCATCCGGGTCTCACTGAGTGATGCAGCACCCAGAGCTCTGAGGACGTGCCTGTCCGAGGGCAGCAGGGGCAGGCAGCTGTATCTGCACCACTGGCAAGCAGGACACAGCACTTCTCAGGACCTCGACATGCCCGGGAGAGGTCAGAGCCTGTTAGCTCTCAGAAAAAAAAACCAGCAGCGTCTCAAAGGAGGAACACGTTTTGCGGACAATTTAAATCCATTTTTTTCCCCTGA